TCATCCCCATGAGGTTGGGCCTGTCTAGTCCCTCGTCCACGGTTTCGACCACTTCTTAGTCCTTCCATTATCTTAGGCATGCCTAGTGCAAGAAACAAATCAATTATGCGAGAAAAAGTCGAAAACGAGAACCAATCAAGAAACATTGGAAACAACAATAATTTACATTCACTAACATTTCAAGTTCATACAATTAGCAAGTCATGGGGGAGATCACAAAAATATAGCACGTAAGTGCCACAAGAGTATTTTTAGTCACAAAAGACTAAAGTCAAAGCAAGTGCCTCAAAAGTAGGCCACACAGTCATGCAAAATACAATGGCCTCAACACTTAGCATCACCCTTACTAATCATAGCTACACCAGTCAAAAGGGTCAAAAGAGTCAATCACTAGGGACCTAGTCCACAATAGGACTACCAGGCGGAATCTCCTCCTCAGGATCCTCCTCCTGATCTGGGCCCTGGACAATATCCATCACCCCATCTATCATCTCAGTGGCATCGGCCAGGATCCCGAAATCCCGATCACAGACCTCCTCACCTAACCTAGTGAGTCGAGCCCTAGTCCTCTGGATCTCCGCACGAGTAGCCGCCTTGCCCTCCAGAACCTCCTCAAGCTCCGCAATCCTCTCTCCCTGAGCACTAACCATCTGCCTCAACTCGTCTACCTCCGCCTGTAAATCTAAGTTGGTGTTCACCAACTGACGACGCTCGTCGTTCAAAGCTAGCACGAGGTGGTTCGGGTAGGCGAAGATCAACCTACATGAACATCGGGGATACCTATTGACAGGTGAATAACGCACGCGAGCCCCTCTACCAAGAGCTCGGTAGTAAATAGGTCTAGGAGGCTCTACATGACCATTCGCATGGCCATTCCCATTAGCTGCTGGGGCTCCATTTCCATTTTCCATCCCTGCAAAATAATCACACTTTTCGGGTTAGAAACTTAATCACTAGCTCGCTCGGATGTCACCTAGGGCATGCCTAACTTAGTCACTAGTTCACCCAAATATCACTTAAGGTATGACTTAGTCATCCTATCTCAAATCTTAAAGGTAGAGTTTCTAATATGTCACCCATATAAATCTCTAACCTAACGCTCTGATACCAACTGTGACGCCCCCACTTCTCCCTAAGGCGAACCAAAGGGTATCCGCGGAATGCCTGCCCAACTCTCGCCAGGACTCAAGACAATTCCCGTTCAAGTTTAATGAAATAACAGCCATCACGATGATATAAGTAAGAAATGGAGGTCACTCCCATAAATAACATTCAAACTTACATCACGAGTTCCAAAATACGTCAAGTATCCAATCCTTACATCAAGTTCTCAAAATATACAATAATCCAGAGTCTAACCAAATACGTTGAAAAACCCTAATACAAAAGTACATTCGAAAGGGGTTTCTCCGAGGTCTATACCAGATCCTTTCCTGTTAAGCGAAACAAATCTACAGGGTGAGCAAAATGCTCGTGAGGCCAAGAACACACATGCAGGCACGTTGTTCAAGTAACAATTCCTATTTACAAGTAGAGTAATAATATTGCAATAATTAACAATTCGAGCGAGAAAAGTAAACAGAAACAATTCAAGGATATAGGAGCTCTCAGGAACTATTTTCCACTTGCACGATCACGAACCTCCACTAGTTGACACTCCGTCAACCGGGTAGGTTTAGTCCGTAGAACTTCACTTATCATGTCCCCTTTCACCTTACATACCCCTGTATCGGGCCCGCCTGTCGTTTGTTTGAGGCGATACTGCTCGAGTATGTCAAGCAAGACCTCTCAATAAGTCAAGCTTATATTTTCTCATGGTTCACCAAGGAGGCCGACCAAAACCCATGTCGGCTCGAGTCCAAAGTTAGCCAGTGAGATTTGGGCGTCCCCCCACTTACCACTTGAGTCGAGGAGATTCACTCCGATCGACTTATGGAGCCATAGCATAAACAAACACTTAAGCACTTCACTTAAATTCACTTAACAAGTCACTTCAAGCAATTCAAGTATTTCATGTCACGAAATTCAAGTACACTTCACTTAAATGAGAACGAGTGCGATAAAATATACACTCGACTCAGCATTTTTAAAATATTTTATTATTGATAACAATTAACACGTAACACGTATATCACATAGTTCACGCACTTGACACTCACCGAGTGATTCAAATAGCAAGTACAAGCGATTGATTAGGCGTCTCCCGTGAGATCCTCTTGGAGGTCCTCTTGAGTGCCTGAACAATTAATAATGAACTATCACTTATAAACCCCAATTATCAAGGAAGATTGTACACTTGTAAAATCTAAGAAAATTTTACGAAAATGAGGCTTAATTACTCGTAAATCGAGACTCAAAAAAATGGGGTTTCAAAACACAAGTAAAATCTGATTTTTTTTTATATTTGAAATCAAGTATACAACGGTCTAGCAATATCAAAGGAGATAGAGAGTTTGAAACCCTCAATTTCCTTTAAATTTGGAAATTTCAGATTTGTCGAGCAATCTTTGAAAAATCGTATCTCACTCTCTACAAGTCCAAAATTGAAAAACTTGGTACCGTTAAAAACTTCTTCCAAAGTACTAAAAGTTCTTAGGAGAAATTTTTCCATGATTCTAAATGAAAGATATTCAAAATTTAGCTCAAAGTGGCTGTTTTGGAATGCCAAGACAGATTTGGGTTGATTTTCGGTAAAGTTTGGAAATTCGGAAATATTCACACAATGTGAACTAGCTTCTGAAATTCGAAAATCAATTAGAGTTACAATCAAAGTTTTCAACACAACAAGCTGAACAAGAATTGGAGTTTTGGGCACCAAGATATGGTAGCTCAAAATTGCTGCAAAAGTAAAACTGTTCAGCAAATTCCAGGTTTAAATCACGTACTTCGGGACTTTGTTTGAGCTTCGAAATGGACTCAGAATGGTACTAAATTTGGTATGATTATACTACCATATAAGGGCTATTGCTCTGCAAAATTTCATAGAAAAATACGCACGAGAAGTCGGTTAACAAAATCATTAAAGCACCAAGAACGTCCAAGACAAAACTGCCTTGTGGTTCCGTTTTCCGTTTTCAAAACGTTTGGCCAACAAAATGTCTCAAACACGGCCCATTTGCGTAGACAATGTCTAAGAAACATCCAAGATACATTTGGTAGGTGATCAACATCAAGAATTTCAAAACAACAAGTCCCAATCAAGATTTAGGCATTTACTAGTCAAAAAAGGGTTTTCAACCACTGAATCAATTTCGAACTTCGGCCACAACTCACTCAATTCAACTTGGAATTGAGCATGGTTAGTGGCGTTGGAAACTACATTCATAACGGTAAAAGTTCACAGAAGGAATCATTTTAAAAATTTGTCCACAACTAGCCCATATTCGAGCATCAAGTTGCAGCTCATGACCTGCATTCTAGTGGATAAATGAAACAGGGAAGTCATGTTCAAATGATTGGTATGGTTCACTCAGGTAGAATCAGGGCATGGATTTTATACCATTAGAAAACCGGAAGTGTCTAGTTTCTAATGCCACTGACGGCACTCGATTTCGATATCGGAGTAAAAAGTTATAACCGAAACAAAAACACTGCCAGAGTAATACGGGACTCATTTCCAGATTTGACAAATTTTCGAAAACTCAACATTTAATCATCCAAATCACGTAATTTTTTGTGGAAACCTTCCACACAACCCACACAACATGTATACATCATAAACAAGTCAATTGAACCACAAAAAAATGCACTAAGGGTCACGGAAATAACAAGGGCAGATTTGTCACTTTTGCTCAACTCTCTCCTTTTGAGTTTTCCTTCACAACCCAACGTATTTCCACTAGATTAAGCACTAATCTAACATAAATAGCATCATATATCATCAAATCAGTCCACCAAGCTATTGTGAGATTTCATAGAGCCCACACACCAAATTTTCAACATAAATAAAGCTACCCACATGAATATATGAGCATATAAGTGCAATATAACTTCCATAAGTCAAGATTTGAGAGGTTGATCATCACTTACTTTCTTAGATGATCAAGGCAGAAATTTCGGTCCTTTTAGCTCCAGAAAAACCGTGAGAACAAGCCCCTTTTCCTAGCTTGAGGTGATCTCCAAGTGGTTAGCAAAGTGTATGTGAATTGGTGAAGATTTGAAGCAAGGATTGATGAAGGAAAATGAAGAACTTTGGTTGTTTTTCTCCTTGGATGGCCGGCTGTCTTGGAGCAAGAGAGAGAGAGGTTTTGGCTGCAAATGAAACTTCCAAGAGAAGCTAAAATATGTGGCTTTAAATTGGTTCAAAAGTCAACTCTCTCTCCTGCGCGTACGCAGGCGTTTTGTGCTCGATTTCTCTCGAGATTGTTTCACTTATGCACTAAACCTCTAATGTACTTGTATTCCTACTATTATTATTCACTCTTAATGGTCTAAAAATAAGGGTCTAAAGTCCCTCAATTAAATCGCGCGTGTAAAAACACGTATTTTCAATTTGTGCGCAATTAAATCGCGTGTGTAAAAATGCGTACTTCCAATTTGTGCGCGGTAGAGTGGAATTTTCAATACTTGAGTACTTAAACATAAAAATACCTTTTTTAAGATTAGTGTATAAGTCTCCAATTTTTCAAGCTCATAGTACTCTCAAATCGGTTATTGTCTCTAAACGCGTATTCGCTATTTTCACTTAACGAGCTTCCAAAAAATGAAATTTTGAAATGAGTCACTTTAAAAATACATATGAGCTATTATTCTATGTAATTGAGTAATAAAAGGTCAAAATAAAATATTTTGAGTAAATGGCCAAATAAATAATTAAATAAGGTAGAAATAGGAAATTTAAATAAGTAAATTTTGCGAGTCCTCACACTTATTCTTTTAACCTGAATGGAGAAATGGTAGGATTCATCAAAGCCAGTAGAGGGTTAAGACAAGGGGACCCCCTTTCTCCTTACCTTTTTTTGATTTGTGCAGAGGGACTTTCTCACATGATCAACAGGGAGATGAACCAGGGAAATGTCACAGGAATCAAAGTATGCAAAAGCAGCCCCCAAATCTCGCACTTATTCTTTGCTGATGATTCATTAATCTGCTGCAAAGTAACCGTCCAGGAGGCCAAGCAGGTGAAGGATATCTTACAGAATTACTTAAAGGTGTCTGGACAACTGGTAAATTTTGACAAATCAGCTGTGTACTTCAGTAGGAATACTCCTAAACATGTCAGAGAAGAAGTGTGTCAAGAGCTAGGAGATATGAGGGAAGCAGGCAGTGGCAGATATCTGGGCCTGCCTATGGCTATAGGAAGATCAAAAAACCAAGTTTTTGGGTATATCAAGAGTTTAGTTGTGAACAAACTGAAAGGATGGAAAAACAAATGCTGAGTTCAGCTGGAAAGGAAGCCCTGATTAAGTCAGTGATTCAAGCAATACCAAATTATGACATGGCTTGCTTTAAGTTGCCAAAAGGACTGTGCAAGGATATATGCAAGTGTTTAGTGAATTTCTGGTGGGGAAGCGTGCAACAAGACAGGAAAATGCATTGGACAAGTTGGAAGAAATTATCAGAAGTCAAAGGAAAGGGAGAACTGGGATTCAGAGATTTGGAAGCCTTTAACGAAGCCTTACTTGCTAAGCAACTTTGGAGAATTATCACTTTCCCAAATCTGCTAATGAGGAAGGTGATCAGAGCAAAGTACCTAAAGGATCCAAATGGTCTTGAAAACAACCCCTCTCAATCAGCATCATGGACATGGAAAAGCATTCATAGTACATGGAGACTGATATAGAGAGGCATGTGGAAAAGAATAGGAGAAGGATGCCAGGTGAACATATGGAAGTATAGGTGGAATAATGGGATCCAGAACAGGCAAAATAACCACAAGCTGCCCTCCAAACTGCCAGATTCAAACCGTGAACTAGCTAATAAAAGATGGAAGATGGAACACAGAAATCCTGCAACAAATTCTCAATCCAGATGATAGAGTGCAGATAGTCAGCATGCTACTCAGTTGCTTCAAAAGAAAAGACAGGTTCTTTTGGAGCATCTCAAAATCTGGGATGTACGCAGTGAAGGCAGGCTATGTAAATGTCGTGCAGGAGAAGAGCAATGAAAAGAGAAGAGAAAGTGTAGGAGAGAAAATAAGTTGAAAAATCAGAAAGCATAGCATCTGGAAACAACTCTGGAAGCTGAACTTGAAGCACAAGCTGAAACATTTCATCTGGAGGAGCCTACAAAATAGCTTAGCTATCAAGGAGACAATCTACAACAGAATAGGCAAAGGTGACAGAATATGCAGTGTGTGCGGGGAAAAAGTAGAAACAATAGAGCACATGTTTTTCAATGCCCGATCGCTCAAACAATATGAAAAATAGCACCAGTGAGATGGGAAGGATTGCATGATCTTCATAATCTATGGAGATGGTGGGAAGCAGTTACTCAGACTGAGACAATGGCAAAAGGATAGGAAAGAATCAACCTAACAGCAAACATACTATGACAGATATGGAAAGCATGAAACAAGGCCCAGTTCAAACATCAAAAAGGAGAAGCAAGAGAAATAATTGGGAAATCACAACAAGAGTGGGTTGAATATGAAGAGGTTACAGGAAGAGAGAACAAGCAAAATAAGGGAGGAGTAGGGTCAAATCAGCAAGGAAATGTGAGAGAGCCACCAAAAGAAGGAATCATCAGAATCAATACGGATGCTGCGATAAGTTTAAAATTGATCAGAACAGGAAAAGGGATAATAGTAAGGAACTGGACAAGAGAAATTATGAGAGCAAGAGAAGTAATGGAGACAAAAATGGGAGAGGCACTAGTGGAAGAAACCTTAACCATTAGGATGGCACTCCAAATGGCAAGACAAGCAGGTTGGGAAAAAATAGATGTGCTGTCAGATTGTAAAGCAGCAGTTGACATGATCACAAGCAACAATGTGCAAGAAGGTCATATAGCAACCATTCTGAAAGACATTGGACACCTAATTAAAGGTTTTGAACATACAGTTTCTTTTGTACCTAAATCAGCTAACGTAGAAAGTCATAGGCTAGCACAATTTGCAACAAAGCTAGTTATAGAAAGTCATAGGCTAGCACAATTTGCAACAAAGCTAGTTAATGACATTGATTGGAAAAACAACTTCCCAACTTTGCTAATAGAAGCAACCAACAATGATTGGAGGGTTGATGCCACCTTTTGTAATTAAGCCCTTGTAGTATCAGGTTTATATATAAAATGATATCTAACGTTTGTGGAAAAAAAAGAGAACATAGCAACATAGCATAATGCCCACATTAACCTTCAGGATATTTACAAGGCAGCAAAGAACCTCTCTCTCAGAAAACAAAGGAGGCCTCCGCTCTTCTATTCCTACAAAACTCGTAACACTCCGAAGTTCCCAACCTTTGTTAATAAAAGAAAATGACAGTGATGGTACAAGCATTTATAGGTAAGAAAAAAAAAATCAAAGTATTCAGTAAATCAAACTAAAGTTACAGGACGACTGTTCAAATCAGTTACTGGAAGATTGATTTTCACTCCACAACCCCATTTCTTGTGGATGCAAGCCAGCAAATACTCATATGCTCTGTAACTGAGAAAATGAAATCCGAATGGTTGAACCACCAAGAGATGTTGCATGCTTGCACACGAGGGCTTCAGTGGCTTGTTCCTCATTTTCAAATAGCACAAGAGCTTGCTTCTTTCCATTCATTTCGAAGAGCTTAGAATTAACTATAGTTCCGTGCTCCTCCAAGTGGGCCACGATTTCCTCCTCAGTTACCTCCTGAGGGAGGGTGGACAGGTGTATCATCTTTGTTGGGGAGCAACAGTACCGGTAATTTTTTGCAGCATTTCGGTTAAACCGGTTAAGGTTTGAATTAGAATACTCGTGCGTATCAGCACCAGTTGTGATGTTTGGATGCTTTGAAAAATTAACCTCCAAGCGCTTCCCAAAAAGCTTAGCTCCCTGCACCACAAAACATTCACTAATTAAGAAATACTCTGCAGACAACTAGCAACTTCACAAAATGTTGGTCCAAATATGCATTATTTTCTGAAAATCATACAAATGATCCCATATGCAACACAAAATAAACAGAGGTCCATTCAAAGACATCTGACTTGAGGACAACATGCTGGTAAAGAATACGTTAAAAATGCAACATATTAAAGCATTAAACAATCTGGGATTTCAATACAAGTGCGACTCAAGCCGCAGAGAATATTTGTAAACATTTCTCAAAAGTGACTCCAAAAGATATTTCAGTAAATTGCCCCTTCCTCATACAAGACAGACATGCCAAAGGACTCCATCCTCAGAGGAGAATGAGGAGAAGCAAAAGGTTGGTGAGAAAAGCCCAAATGAGAAATGACGCAGAGTTGGGAATAGTCCCATCCCTGAGAAGTTACGATCCCATTCTTTCTGGACAGTAGAGAGATAATTCACACGCTTGTCTATGACTTGCCTCCGCTTCCATTCAAAATCTATTATGTCATTATCTTTTCATATACTATTTTGACATAAATGGATATTAGTTCTAGAAGGAACTTCATAGGATGTAACGATGTACTTTTCCCCAACCACTTCATTTGTATAATTGATACGGCAATGCAGAAAGTAAAAATAAAAAGAATGGACCAGAAGAATTTGTGAAAACAGTGGATTTATCCAGTTCAGGAACTTCAGAATTTGGCCTATCCCGGTAGATTGTATAATATGTTTAAATTAGGCAATCAAAGCTGAAACTAGAAACTAAGATAAAGGTTCCAAAAGACTGAAAGACCTTCAAAAAGTGCACAGCCAATTCAGCCTGAAAACCATCCCCCATCTGTACAAGAGCATGATCAGGTTTATTCCGCAGAAGTTTGATTCTCACAATATTTCCATAAATGGAGAACAGGTTAAACAGCTTGTCCTCATCAATGCTCTGCACCAGAGGCATACAAATGTGAATTTTGGGAAGCAAGAAAGGCGATGCCATCAAAACAAAGTTTTGGCTCTATGAAGAACCCAAGAGAACACAAGAATGATAGATGAGAAACCAATATGAGAGGTGAAGACTTACTTCTGGATTCAAATTAGAAACAAGAACAGTGCACCTATCATTCGTCCCACTAATTCCAGGAGGTAAACCACCTCCAAAGGCAGCCGCAATTGCAGCAGCACTGGCCATCTGCATTTCAGAAGCATCTTCCATATTATTGCCGTCTTTTAAAAGATTAAGAATCCACACTAACAAAAGCTAATGTGCACATACAATACCCTGACTACCCAGTCGGTCAAAAGATCTTTCAAAACAAGACTAATTTATAATTTTAAAAACTGTTTGGCAATCTATTCTGCTCCTAGATGGACAACAACTAGGGCAAGCAAAGCAGTGGAAAGAGCTTAAAAAGAACCAAAAGTTTTAAAGTTCATCGCATTTCTTCATCCAGCATCTCAGCATGCTCTATATAGGGCTTGGCTTGGAAGAAGATATAAAATACAAAAATCACTCTTCATTTAGTGGATCGGTTTTCAAAGAGCTGCCTCCTGCATTAAAGATCCAGTTCATTGAAGGAGAGAGGCATAGGTTACATGATCTATCTATGTGCTCCTTTTATACTAAAATCAAACTCTAGGATCAAATGAATATCTGAGAGCCTAGGGCAACAAAATTGACCCAAAAGGTGTTTAAACAAAATCCCTTTTCTTGTCATTTTAGTTGCCTACTAATCATTCCCAAAACCTCATAGATGCTATGAACCAAATCCAACAGCAAAAGTGAATTTGACACCAGACATACAGATCAGAGTTGACAACAGAAACTCAAAATTGCAAAGCCGACACCAAAAAATGGCTGAATGTCAGTTGACTGCAATAAAAGTGACGGGAAAATACGCACCTGTGGATATCCAACTGGTAAACACCAAAGAAGAGCAAAATCAGTCAGAAATGTACAATACGGCGATAATATTCAACAAAAACTTAGCTGCTGAATTTGGCAACCTGCAAAGAAGACATACCTCCTACGTCACCATATCCAGGCTGTCACAAGAAAGGAGAAGTGGTTACATATTAAATATTGGAAAGCACAAGCTCTAATTTATGAATCTCAAATAGTAATATCAGAAATGAAAGCAACCTACATGAGAGGATCTACCCTTCTGTTCCGAAGGCAGTGAAGGGTTTGTGAAATCCCTACGTAGAATCAAGAGTAACAGTCAGGGAGAAGGGATAAAAGAAGAATCAGCAATCTTTGCATACTGCAGGACTGTGATATAGACAGGAACATTTATCCTTCTCTTTCACCCACGGAGGATTTATGTATTTGAAAAAAGAGAGAAAAAAATGCACCATCCTACCTAGATCGTTCATTATTGTAGTTTACTTGTAACTCATCCAGGCTAGAGGAAGGACAAAAAACAAAGAAGAAATGTGAGTAAAATATCCGCAAGATAAAATTGATCAAATGAACATTACAAAAATATAATTAATTAATTAATTAAAAATCTGGAATTCCTAAAAGGAAACTTCAAGCATACTTAGAGAATTGAATGTCTAGCTGACAGCAACCATCATATATATTTCGACCCTGTAAGAAAATACCAAGTACACCAGTTGAAAGCACCCATCCATTTATAGATGCAGACTAGGAGACAGAAAGGACTGCTGAAAAAACAAAGAACCTGAAGGGCATTTCTTGCAGAAACAGCACTTTGCTGTAATTGATACTGAATCAAAGCCTGGAAGCCTACAAATTTTCAGCACAGTCAGAATCCACAAAAAGAAATGTCCGAAGTTTTGAGTCAAAACAGATTGATAACAACTTGAAAATAAAGATATTCAGAAAACAATTCACCAAAAAAGAAAAAAGAAAGGACAGACAAGCTATGAACAATAAGCTTCCTAAATATACATAGTGCCTTTTGGCATGAGCATGAAGACAGCACTGAAACTAAAAGAGGCTTGCCTCTGATACTTAAATGCTACAGATCAATAATACATCCTAATATGCCAAAATGAGCACCAAAATAAGAAAAAAAGGAGAAAAAAGAGGGAGAAAACTTGAAGGTGCTGACCAGCCGACTTCTGAAAGGTGACAATCTTCTCTACAAATCCATGGGGAGAAAACACTTGATGCAGCACTTCCACAGTAATGGGGTATAGCATTTGATGTATTGTAACTAAGAGAATTCGGTTAGGCTGTATATCCACAGGGTGCCCGACAGCAGACCAGCATAGAGGCAGATCAGAGAGAAGAGAAGAGAAGAGAATGAATAGAGAAGAATAAACTGAGAAAGGAGAGACTAAAGCAGCAGAAGATATTGCGTGCAGAAAACTATAGCAGACAAATTTATGACAAAATAATACACAGAAGAAGAGAATTATTACTCATTCAATCAATCCAGAAACATAGAAGAAAAAAGATGTATGCTAAGAAAGGATTATAAAGGTGCAATAATGGACAAGACAAAAAAAAAAAAGCACTAGTGCCTGTTTTCTACATTTTTTTCAAGTAGAAACGGAATAGTTCTGTCAATGGCACATTAAGAGACCATCATCCATAAGATCTCAGGTAAGAATGTTCAGCAAAAATTTATCTGCATCCCGTTAATTCCAGTCGAAGCAAATGTGTTATTAAGTTCAAATCAGGGAGGTCAACAAGTGAAGCCTAAATTAGCAGCATTCAATTCCAAAAAACAACTACTATGAAAGTTCATCTATTAGTTGGCCATCCCTGTGTATCCCAATGGCTTTGACCAATTAAATCAGCTTCAGTTAATAAACTGCCCAGAACCTTTAGGTAGAAGAACACCAAAATCATTAACTCCTCTACTCTTTTTCTGCACCCAGGTTTTGCTTAGCATTCTTATTACAAAACAAACCAAAGTAGCCTCAGATGGTGAATATCTTAATGTTCACAGGGAAATTGGATTTATAATTACAAGATGGTAGACCTTTGGAATATCGAGAATCATTACGGAAACACAGCATCGCTACCATTCTCATAAATATAGTGACATATATATGTATTGATTATACATGCTATCCAGCAGCATCATTTTCTCATCTTTTTGCAAAGAATGTTCATGTATTTAGAACCTTAAGGAAAAACCAATTCATTATATTCCTCACACAAATACTACATCAAAATCAAACTTCATAAATCAAGTTCTATTATATGCTGCTACTAACATATACTAACCTCGTCTCCTCGTCCCTGAGTATTCTGATCCATGGTTGTTAGTTCTTGATGTGATGAAAACTGGACATAAACATTTCTTCCCCTAGTGGTCAATAAACAATACAAGGAAAAATTACAGTCACTCACTTTGCAGCTTGCAGTTAAAAGATTGATTATCAACAGTCTCCCATGCCTTGATAACAAAAAGAAAACCATGAAGGACACCTTATACTTGGTTGAACATTAGTGTAGAATTGTAAAGCATTTACAGCTGAAGGAACATCTTGCATTTGAAGAAGTGCCTGCATGGGAAGAAGCAATGGGAATTAGTAGTCCTATTTAAAGATTACAGTTCATTTCAACCAAAAAAGACTATTATAGAAAAATTTAAGACAAAGATCAATTCAAAGAAGAACTACCTGATTTTTTGCCCGAAGCATTACAAGTTTGGTGATGACTCCAAATGGTTGAAACAGCTGAAGCAAGTCATTCTGTAATCACAATGTTCAGATTTTTCAGAATAACAGCACTACCAAGAACATGATAAAACCAACAGAAACCAATGATTAGTAATCTAAACCCTTGCACAGAACATAATAATCACACCAGCTAACAGGCAACCATCCAGTAAAGCATAAAGAAAAACAAATTTTCCATGTACAAAAAAAGACTTAGTATGTAATGGGAGAGGATAAACAAGTAAACTGTCCACAAGGTTTAAATAACAGCAAAAGAGAAGCACTAGCAAGAACATTTAAAAACTCTAGGATTTCAAAGAATTGTCAATCTAGATTTTCCCAGGAGGGCAACGGTGTATGGGCAAATAATAAAATATTAGCAAGACAAAACAGAGGCTTCATTACTCTTCTTTCCAGTACAATGATAATTTTCCAATGCCAGGTGATGAAAATTACCATTCTACTAGGAAGATGAGCTTTGTCTGAAAATGAAAACCACAACTTTGATGAATTTACCAAGGTATGGAATTCCCACTTCATTGGGCCAAGATACTAAGTGGATACATTACACTTATCATTTATTTATTTATTTATTTGTTCTTTCCAATAGGAAAGTCACATTACAAGAAAACATAAATGCAGCTTATATATTTTAATAATTTATTCCATTAATTTGCAATTTAGGAAAACAGCTGGGGAGAGGAGACAATTGGCTACCTTAAGATTTTTTTTATCTTAAAACATTCTACGGAAGTGCAGACAGTTGTTCAGGCTGGAAACAACTAATGTCAAAGCATCCTGTTATACGAACAGAGAAGATATATCCTTGGAATAAAATTTGTAATCATAACTCCAGCTCACCAAAAAGTAACAATAAAGGATCTGATACATGAACCCTACAAATTTTCTTTTTTCAAACATAGATATTCCCTGCACAACAGAAAGATTGACCTTATCACCCATGAACTAGCTCTCTGGACTAAATTTCCTATTACTTGTGCTTTAGTGTCATGCTTTCTTCCCTTTAAAAGTTCCTTTCAGCAGCAGAAGAATGATCCTGATTTACGATAAGCCACAATTCAGAAGCACTTCAGGCGTAAACTTAATATTGATAAGAAGTTGTAGAATACATTAAATTAAATGAGCTGACTCCGAAGGATCATGTATAGGCACTGTATAAATTACAGGGTTGAAGAAGAATAATCTGAAAAAGGTTGGAAGGGGACTAGTAATCAGTTCTCTGATCAACGTTGGAAGGGATCTTCTTGATAGGGTTCATCATTGTATAAGAAGAGAGACCCCAGTTAGTGACACAGAAATGGTTGAATCAGAGTTCTTTAGATTGGATTGGGGATCAAACTCCCAAAATAAAATAGACTCAAAATTGGAAGGCAAGCTGTACCTCATACCAATTCCTGACTAAAGGAGAGTAGAAAGAAGCACTTCTAAAGTGCATAACTTCGGGGAAGCAGATACGAATGGATCCAATCAACTTGGAAATGAAAGGATTTTACAAGTTATACATTTCTCTACTTGTTTATCTTGAGCTGTACCCTCTTGGTGCATCTTAATAAATTATTACTTTCTCAAAACACCAAAGAGGTTTAACAGGATCTTTGTGGTCAATTGGCATTCTTTGGACTCACAGGTTGGAGAAGCTAATTAGGTGGACAGAGATTAGGCCAAGAGTTACCTCAGCCATCAGTTGCTACAAAAAGATAATCCCTCCATTTGGATTAGTTATTCTTGGGGGTGTTTTTGAAAAATTTTACTGTAGCAGAGTTTTTAGAGTATATTTTGGGATATTTTTAGAAAATATTTTGGAATATTTAAGAGTAGTAGAGTTTTTAAAATATATTTTGGGATATTTTTTGAATATTAAAAAAATTTTAGACTACTTTTTAGAGTACCTTGAAAAACTAGTTTTTGAAAAACTAAAGGATCCAAATGCAGCCTGAGAAATTTTCACCATTCAATCACTAATCAGAAGAGCCATAAAATAGAATCCACAGAATTTAGCGAGCCCAGCACTAACCAACAGGAAAGGTACTTGACTTAAAAATACAGTGATAGCATTTTGCAACCAGAAAACATTAGACCTTGCAATAATATAAAATCATACTTCATACAAGGAAAGTTTAGAAGCTTAAAAGATCCAAAAACTTGGCGAAGCTCTTGAAGAATATTTAAGCAACAACTTTTTAATTTATAGGCTACAATCCCAAATACAATGAAACATCCAAGTAAACCATATCGAATGTGTTAAACAAACATCAGTTCCAAAATCAGCAATCTCTACTTATGCTTAAATTCTGTATTGGTTTCAATGCATAGAACATGGAGCAAAGAATAAAACAAACTTAAGAAGACCGACATGAATTTAAAAACTGTAAAACATTCTTCAAAATCAAATATCAGGAAGTCACCTGATAGTACAAGCATATAAATGAACATTTAGCTCTTTCCACATAGGCTACATGCTCCATGTTCTATAAATGTATCTTAAGTCATATCTTATGGGAAATTACTCAATACTCCACTTGTTTAGAAACTTTTAGGAGGCATGCAGGTGCAAAATCCCTGAACTTACCAGACATAATCAATATAAACGCGTATAATTTATTAAAGAAAAAATTGAAAACATGTAAACCTATCTTTTAGGTCCAAAAATGGCAAAAAAATGTACAATATAGGTACCAAGTAACATTAGATTAAAAATCATACCTCAGAAATCTCATGCCCCACATTGCGGACATGAATGACTTTTGAAGGCTCTGTCATTTGAAAAATCCTGGACAAAAATAAATAGTTGACAATGGTGTGTATGAACACCACCAGACATGATTGAAATGTAACTTTACCAAATTAGTGAAGGAAATGAGCTAGTCTAACACCATATCAATCAAGCACAAGTAGAAGAGAAAGAAGATGAAGCACATGCAGAATTATGCTCCGCATATGTGGTTGTTATAATGATCAAGAAATCAACTGGAAAACCAGTATAACTTGCAGAACCTCAATCTTTGAATTTGAACTGCCACATATATATAACTAGGAGTAAAAAGTGACCAAATGCAATGCACACCAAGTATGTATATTTCTACTTCCAAACATAGATATAAATATTTCTGTCTAGCACAAAGATGAGAAACAAAGGAATGAGCGGCAAAACAAGCCATATCGATTTCCCATGACTTAACCACGCGAGTCCCTGAGTTAGTTTTCCCTCCTAACAATCAATACTCCAGCTTCTTGCCACAAGAGGTAGTGAAAGATTTTGACTCTCTCAATTTCAAGATGAACTAACAAGATGACTCATTACAATCCAGTGGCAAACCAGCAAGACGAACTTACATATCTAATCATATTACATCACAGTTCTTCTACCCATACCTCAGAATTTCTTGAAAACCGCAAACAATAAACAGGTTCTGATTTTGGAATGTTTAAACAGCCCCCACCTTTTCCAGCAAAAGGAAAAAAGATTAAATTTTGTAACACTCTAACGAACTCTTGAATTAATTACAGAAAACCGCCCCAATTCTCGTTGTGTTCCATAATTACATGCAGACCAACTCACAAATTTAAGAATCTTATCCCATTAACCTAGATGGAAACAGGGATGCAGATTAATAAAATTAAAAGCAACAAAATTACATACAATCAAGCAAGAAACTGAATAAACTAGATCAAGAAAATGCAATATCAAAAAAGAATAAACTTTCAGATCCAACCTCGTAGGAAGAGAGGACGAGGAGGAGGAGGAGATGGGGAAAGCTAAAACCCAAGTGGACAGAGGACAAAGACAAGGAGAGTTGTGAGACAGGCACCAGAGAGAGAAAAAATAGGGTTTGGGGATTTTTGACTTTTGAGACACGTGAAGGTGCTGGGATGGATCAACTATTTCTTCTCAGCCGTATCCATCATTTTTCTGTTTGAGCAGCCGTTTTGAGTCTTTTGACGTGTCTTATGCGTCATGACGTAAATGTCCTCACAGATAGAAAGTTTGGGCATGCATGTCAAGGTTTTGATTTTTGGATTGCAATGTTTCAAAGAAACGTCTTGACGTAAATGTCCTCACAGACACAAAGTTTGGGCATGCATATCAAGGTTTTGATGTTTGGATTGCTTTGAAAAATTGTTACGTTTTTTCATGCATACATTTTTCAATCACTTTTTTATCTTTCATATATCAAATTGTTAAAATAATTTTATTTTATAAAAAATTCAAAAAAATGCAACCTAAACAAAGCCTTCCCAAACAAATTTTCCTATAAATGACTATTGATCAAGAGGTTTTTTTCTAAGAAAAAAATAGTTTATTTGGACAAAATAATATTTGAAATTTTTTTAGGATAATTTTTTTAGTATTTTTTGTGATATGATGTATGTAAAATAAAATAAGTAGTAAGTTGATAAAGAAAAGATAATTAAAAATGTGTTTGTGATGCAAGTAAAAAAGTTTTTCCAAATAAGTTTGGATTGAGTACTATTTAGAATAATTATTATATTATTTTTTTTTGTAATGTGGTGTATATGATATATAAAATATATTTAAAATGTAAACAAAGATAATTGGACAATCTATTTATGATGCAAATAAAATAATATTTGAAAAAAAATTTGTATCCAAACATATCCAAAGTAAGATCCACCTATAGTAAATTAAAAAAAGTTTTGCAAAGGTGAGTAAAGTGAGAATGATATAACTTCTTGTTAGACTAGTAAATTGAATTAGCTGCTGTTAACTGGGAATCCACTATGCTTGTTTTTGAGGATAATAAAAAAAATTCATTGGAAAAAGAATGAAAAAAAAAAAAGGAAATCAATGGGTCATAAGACAGGTGGTTTAACACACTAGAATATTTATTCAAAAAATAAAAAAAAATTGGGAAACAAGCATTAATAGGACAAATATTTGTTGGATAAATAAAAAATGGGAAACAGATGAGCTAGGATAAATATTTGCTCCAACAAATGAAAAATAGGAAATTTTCTCGTATAAATCTCTTTTTACCTCTTAGAATCCATTTTTTTTCTTTTATTTTTGTTCTCAAGGGACCCATGCCCAAGCGGTTAAAGTTGATGCCCTAAAAAATTCGAGGTCCTGAGTCCCAATTCCCCATTCCTACTCCTTAATTTTCACCCCTTCTTTGCTAAATAAAGTTTAAAAAATAATAAAAAAATCTAGTATTTTCTCATTCTCGTAGCTAGTATGTCTAATTGAAACAAATTAATGGGTTAATAGGTAGCATGCCTAGTTGGCATTTATGTTTTGTTTATGATTTTTTATTGCAAAGTTTTACTTTAGACTCAAACTTTCACTACTACAAGTGCGCAGGTTGTACACAAATATAAGGAAAGATTGAATATCGATCCCATAGGAAAGATTGATCAATTATTGATTAGTATTCAAATTATTTTATTATTTAGACAATCACAAGTGCGAAAAATTAAATCTATATTACAAACATGTTGTAAAATGAAATAACAATAACAATAAAAGGTTTCTAGGGTCATGGAATTACGAGCTACTCTTGTAAATGAATCTACCGATTAATTGGGTATGATTGCCTTAGCTAAGTTATGGCATAATTACCTATTGTACGTGTTACTCGCTTTCGCCAATGTACCCACCATACTTATAAATAATCCATACTTATTTATGTGATTATGAAACTAGCTACAAGTTTGTTTAAATTCTATAAGATTACTCATAAAAAACCACAAAGGTGCACGTCTAGCTTCATGTGTGTACTGCCTTAGTTCAATACTTCCTTGAACTAGTATCGAATCCCAACTCTTATTGACAATTCAATACCTTTAGATAATTACAATCAATGGCCACTTAATCATGATTTTGCCAGCAAAAGTATTAAATAACTTGCTCAATGTAATAGCATCAAATAACTAAGAAAATATCACACAACAATCATGGAAAATTCATCCATACCCTAGGTATAACTTAACAAAACATAAAGGAAATCAAAGAAAACACCAAACTTGAATTATAACTAACAAAGGAATTAAATACAAGAATTAAAGTGTTAGGAGATATATCTTTGTCACATGAGTTCCAACTCTCCATCTTCAACTCCAATATTTATCCTGTCAGTCAAATACAAAATTTGGATGAAACTACACTAATCTAACCTAAACTAAAGAACTATAAATAACTAGTGAAATACCATTTTTGGTAGTTTTTTCTCCTAACTTCCAAAGTTATAAAAGCAAGTTCACAAGAGGTGTCGCACCCCATTTTTGAAAGAAAAATAAAGTGTTTACAGGTTTATAAAAATGGATTTTGATTTATTTTGAGTGAAAATGAGTTTTTGATTTGTAGAAAATAAATAAATAAAGAGGGCCTAAAATGGGACTTAAAAGTGCGACGATTATGACCCAAAATAATAGTTTAAAAAGGGTTTTTAATAAAAAATATGAGTCGCCACTTGGTATTGAGTTAAGGTGTACCAAGTTACTCAAAATGAATTTTGAATAAAAAAGTAGAAAAACTCTTTTTAAACGACTCTAAGTTTTCAAAAATCAGAGAAAAGTGCTCGGGAGTCACGTTTGAAGAAAGGGAAGGTAAGGATAAAATCCAAGGCACCCTTTCAACCTAGCCTAGAGATAGTTGCGTGATTTAGTCAAAAAGTTTTCTTAATTTAACCTAAAAACTTATCACATTTGGATGTTACTATATGAATGCAAACCTAGACCTAATGGCTATCAAAAGGGTCAATATGTCTTTTCAAAGCTTGATTGGTGCAAATCGCATTAATTGCGACCCTCAAAAGTGATTATTAGAAGAGGTCACGAATATGCAACAATGAGATTTGAAAAAAATAGAAAAATTATAATATACAAATATACGTGACCTAAGGGAATGCATCATAATGGGTGCGGGGGAAACTAACACTCGTGATTTCAATTTTCCCTTTAATAGAGGGAATACGAGCGTGCTAAGGCTAGAAAGCCATACTCGTCCATATCCTATATTTGAGGGGTTTTTCTCCTATCTAATCAAGCAAATGATCTAACCTAGTTCTAATGGAAGTGCAAACCTACATGTCATGTGTTGCACATGGGGATAAGGGATATATATATATATATATATATAGGGGAAATATGGGATAAGAGATGTACATATAAAGGAAATGCCATGCAAAATGATAAAAATCCCAAAAGATAGAAAAATATGCATGCAAATGTAGTGATTGTCACACAAATATGATCTAGCGCGTGGATGGTCTTTAAGGGTCTAGCGTTGGACTAGCCCATGTCTAGAAGTTCCCACTGGCGTTGGACTAGCGAGAAAACGGGAAAAAGGGCCACAACTAGCGTTGGACTAGTGTAGTGACGTCATACAGTTATTATAATCAAATAAATTATATAAAACATAATGAAAGCAAGTAAACACATAATATCATATAAAACACATAGCACATAAGCATGATATTTAGATGCAAAATCCTAAGAAAGCGAGTAATACGTAAACATACAAGCATGCAAAACACACAAAGCAAATAAATCAAATAAAGACCTAACTATTACATTTGAGGGCCCTAACTACAATCTAAAGGGAGAAAGGAATAAAATAAATGATAAAATAAATACCTAACTATTACATATTCTATCTAAATACATATCTTGAATCCCCTAACTATTACAATTTGGCATTTAATTGCCTCAAAAATTAAATTAAAACAAATATACAAAATTAAAAACAAATAAAGTGAATAAATAAATAAAACAGAATAAATAAATAAAAACATTCAAAAAACATGCAATTACACACATAAAGTCACATAGGAGCACATAGAATCAAGTAAAAGCAAAATAAAGGAGTAGAGTGTACCTCCTTGAATTGGTGACCTAATGAAGTGAAATTTCTTTTATTTACCTTCCAACACGAAAAAAATAGTTAAGGTACGACTTTAATTAACAAATACTCATAGACGATGGAAATAAGCATGAAATTGAATAATTAAAGTATTTAAATGAAAGTAAACAACCCATATTTAAGAAATTAAAACAAGCAAGGACCTAACTGAAACAATTAAAGAAGTTTGAGAGGTCAAATTAAAGGAAAATAAAATTAAGGGCTCTAAATAAAGTCTACCAAAACTAAATGCTAAAATTCACAAAAAAATAAATGAAAACCCATTTGCTATAATTAAACAACAAAATTACCCAAAATTTTACTAAAATCCAAACCAAAATTGTAAATCTTATAAAAAATTATTAAACCTAAAATTTCATCCTAAAATTCACCAATAATCTGTCCAAAAATCACATTAAAACATACCAAAGAAAAATAACATTTTAAAAGGACAAAATTGATTAATTTTCCAATTTTATGGGCCATAGTAGTATGAAGTAACAATCCAGGGGTCAAAGTGCAATTGTTTGGAAATATTTCATGCAGCCCACGAAGAAGCTTTCTGCAACTTTGCCGCTATGGGATTCATATCGAACACAGGTAACAAAATCCAAGCAAAACATCAAGTTTTCAGACTAAAACAACAAAGATTATGGAGTCCAAGCATCAAGATTCAATCTTGGGTATATTTAATACAAAATTTGTGCTATAAAATCTGAACTATCATCCCATAAGATGAGTAGGAAAAGTGCGGCAAAAGAAGAGAATAATGCAAGCTAGATTCGGACAAGTTTGGCCCAGATTTAAACTTAAATGGCAAGGGTAAAGTGAAC